TAATACAGTTTTGTCTTGGACGTTGACAGACACAATCTTTCGGTCTTGTGTGCTTCCGTAACCACTTTGGTCATTATTTTCTGTTTTTCCTTACGGTCTTTTCGGCTTTCTGAAATCTTTTTTATTTGTGTGTCTATCTATCTAATCTATCTATCTAATCTAATCTAAGCTAATCTAATCTAATCTAATCTAATCTAATCTAATCTAATCTAATCTAATCTATCTATCTATCTATCTATCTATCTATCTATCTATCTATCTATCTGTCTGTCTGTCTGTCTGTCTGTCTGTCTGTCTGTCTGTCTGTCTGTCTGTCTGTCTGTCTGTCTGTCTGTCTGTCTGTCTATCTATCTATCTATCTATCTATCTATCTATCTATCTATCTATCTATCTATCTATCTGTCCATCCGTTTGTCTGTCTGTCTGTCTGTCTGTCTATATGTGTGTTCGTAACTACTCTATTCTTTTGTGTCATTGACTGTTCTCATTTGTTTCTTTCCTCTGTTGTCTCATTCAGTCTCGATCTGTTCCGTCAGTTCTGTGTGTGTGTGTGTGTGTGTGTGTGTGTGTGTGTTTGTGCGCGTGCGTTTATGTTCACGTGTTAGTGAGTGTGTCTGCCATCGCCCACGGTGCTGCCTTGATATCTTTCTCTCTTCTGGTATATGTCACTCATTAGACTGTCTCTCTCTCTTTCTCTCTCTCTCTCTCTCTCTCTCTCTTTGCCTCTCTCTGTATTTCTATCTGTATTTCTCTCTTTCTTTCTCTCTCTGTCTCTTTCTGTCTCTTTTTGTCTGTTTCTCTCTCTCTCTCTCTCTCTCTCTCTCTCTCTCTCTCTCTCTCTCTCTCTCTCTCTCTATGTATGTATTTCTCTGCCCCTCTCTTTCTCTCTCAGTCTGTGTGCGTGTGTGTGTGTGTTCCTCTCACAATTCCTACTACAGAAATAATGCCTTTGCCCAAAAACGCCTTGCCTCTTCATTAAACCAGATACCATTTTTTTCTCTCATTTCAGAGCGGACGACGTGCCGCAGGACCACTTCTGTTATGAAGCAACAACCGAAGCATACGACAAGCTCACGTGCCATGACTAATCAACCTGACAGCTCGTGAAAATTCCGCAAGAAAAATGAATTTCCTAAGGCCAAACTGGCCGGTAACTGCCGTATTAGCTGATTCCGTGGGCATGGAGTGAAGCCGGTAGGAAACTAGCCATATTATCTCTGCTTCCAGGGACGTACAAGCTTGAGAACACTTGCGCGGAATATTATCGCCGATGTTCTGTTCGGTCTAGTAAGTTAGATGCGTTTGTGGAATTGCTGAGTGTAGAAATGTTGCACATGGGACAGCTCAGTGATGCATTGTGGATCTGAGATTCGGGAAGCATCTCTAGAACTGTTGCAACTTGAGCAGGCTAATGAAGCATGTGAATCTGAGATTTGGGAACGGGTGTAGAACTGTTGCATAATGAGCATGCTAAGGATGAATTGTGAATCTGAGATTTGGGAAGCAGCTGTGAAATTGTTGCATGTAGCCAAAGGAATATCGTTAAGAAGTATATATTTTGAGTGACAATAACGTTGGAATATCATCTATTCACACAGTCGTTTTCATGGCGTCGCAAAAGCATCCTTGCATTTGATTGGCTGTTGTGTTGTTTTCCAAGCGATTCTGCCTTCAGTATCTTCCCACTGCCTGTTGAATAGTTGAGCCAGTAATTCTCCTGTCAAAATCAACTCACAGAGATCTGCAACTAAATCTCCAGCAGCAAACTTCGAATCTCTGTACGTTGGCATTGCAAAAAATCATTCACGGTGACTTAGCCACACACGCTGACAGTAAAGTTATTTAAAAAAGGGAACCTAATAAAAACCTATAAAAAGTCATCCAACTGTTTTCCTTTTAAGAGATTACGAAAAAAAAATCGCATTTCTGTTTTCCAGGATTTTTGTTTTCCCCAGAAAATAGCAGCTGTGAAGACAGTTAGCGTCAACGGAACTGTAGCATGTTTGTTTAAAATAATACTGATGGAATGCTTTCTCGTAAAGATAACACTGTGATATATTTTCCGAAGCTGATAACACTTGGTCCCAGGTCTCAACGGAGATACCGTTTATAGATGTTCTCAAGAATGTACATTGTGATACGTATTCTCAAGAAGATAAACAGTGACATGTGTCCTAAGAAAGGCAAAATGTGACATGTGTTCTCAAGAATATAAACTTTACCATGGTCCTCAAGAAAATAAACAGTGACATGTGTCCTCAAGAAGATAAACTTTGACATGTGTCCTCAAGAAGATAAACTGTGACATGTGTCCTCAAGAAGATAAACTGTGACATGTGTCCTCAAGAAGATAAACTGTGACATGTGTCCTCAAGATCAACTGTGACATGTGTCCTCAAGAAGATCAACTGTGACATGTGTCCTCAAGAAGATAAACTGTGACATGTGTCCTCAAGAAGATCAACTGTGACATGTGTCCTCAAGAAAATAAACTGTGACATGTGTTCTCAAAAAGATAAATTTTGACATGTGTCGTATAAATTTTAAAAAATGGTGACATGCGTTCCAAGAGAAAACGCTGAAACAAATGTTTGCAAAAAGACGCCGCTGGGATAAATTTGTCCAAAGAGAAGACACTGTGATAAATCTGTCCAAAGAGAAGACATTGTGATAAATCTGTCCGATGAGAAGACACTGTGATAAATCTGTCCAAAGAGAAGACACTGTGACAAATCTGTCCAAAGAGGAGACACTGTGATAAATCTGTCCAAAGAGAAGACACTGTGATAAATCTGTCCAAAGAGAAGACACTGTGATAAATCTGTCCGATGAGAAGACACTGTGATAAATCTGTCCTGTGAGAAGACACTGTGATAAATCTGTCCGATGAGAAGACACTGTGATAAATCTGTCGGATGAGAAGACACTGTGATAAATCTGTCTGATGAGAAGACACTGATAAATCTGTCCGATGAGAAGACACTGTGATAAATCTGTCTGATGAGAAGACACTGTGATAAATCTGTCCGATGAGAAGACACTGTGATAAATCTGTCAGATGAGAAGACACTGTGATAAATCTGTCCGATGAGAAGACACTGATACATTGTCCAAAAAAGAAGACACTGCGATACATTTGTTCTAACAGAAGACACTGTGATAAATATGTTCACAGAGAAGACATTGCGACACATTTGTCACAAATAGACAAGAGCTGTAACAAATTTTCTAAAAACAATGAACATATATGAACTATTTTTTTTTTTTTTTTTACTGGTAAAAGCAGTAAACATTACTGGACATAAACATTAGTGGGACAAACATCTGATATATACTAGTGGTACAAAATATGATATAAATATTAGTGGAATGAGCATAAACATTAGCGGAGTGGGCATAAACATTAATGGGACAGGCATTTAATAAACAAATTAGTGGGTCAGACATAAACTTTAGTGGGACATACATTTAATATATGCATTAGTAGGTCAGACGTAAACATCAGTGGGACAGGCATTTGATATATATGTTAGTGTTTAAATTAGTGGGACATAAGTAAATATTAGTAAGACAAACATATGATAAAAACATTCGTTGAATGGGCATAAACATTAGTGAGACAAACATATGATAAAAACATTGGTGGAAGAGACGTTTACAATAGTGGGACAGACTATGATGAGACTTAGTGAGATATGTATATATGCTAGTGTGACAAATATATATATAGTATAAACATTACTTAAACAGGCATATTTCTAAAATAATCGGATACATACATAAATAAATATTAGGGGAGTGGGAATTATTATTAGTGGGACATACATTTCATATATATAATAGTGGGAGAGATATAAACATTAATGGGGTGTGCATAAACACTGGTGGGGCATAATATTATATTTGATGTATATGATGTAAACATTAGTGGGACAGGTATATAATGTAAACATTAGTGGAACAAGCATATGTTATAAACACTAGTGGGAAAGACTTCTTAAATAATCTCAAGTGGGACAGACACCTGATATAAACATTAGTAAAGCAGACATCTGACAGAAACATTAGTGTGACAGGTATATGATGTAAACTTTAGTGGAACAAGCATATGTTATAAACACTAGAGAGAAAGACTTCTTAAATAATCTCAAGTGGGACTGACAACTGATCTAAACGTTAGTATAGCAGAAATCTGACAGAAACATTAGTGAAACAGACTTTGAACATTAACATTAGTGACACAAACACCATTCCAAATATTAGTGGAGCAAACGCGTTGTATAAACATTAGTGGAGCAGACGACTGCTGTAAATATGAGGGAAGAACACATCTGGTATAAACATTAGTGGCAAAAAACGCCAGACATAAACATTTTTGGAATAAAACCCTTATATAACTTAAGATGGTCCGAAATCTGACGCAAACATTGGTGGAATAGAAATGAACTGCTAGAGCGAAATCGGATACAAACACTGTTGGGAAATATTTGTACTATGAACAATAATGGTGACTAGTTCATGGGGGATTTTCAAAACTGACAACACAATTTAACAACGTGAAAACAAGGGCATACTGAAAGAGAAGGACAATAAAAAGAGGGGGGAAAAAATACGTTAACAAGTGATGAAAATATCACAAGATACTGGATACTGATTTAATTTTGAAAAATCGGTGAAGGATGACCCAGATTTGTTTTGTACAGTGATTTGTTACACCCTGTTTCCATCTGTTGGTGTGAATCATCGATACAGGTCAGCTCAAAAATGAACGTCACTTCCTGGATACTCAACGGAACATCTATCCCTCTTTTGGCGGTGATCAGCGGTCTAGAGACAGACGACGACGACAAACTGGACAAAACAACGAACACAACAGACAGTATAATGATGATAACTTTTTCCAACAAATCCTGTGGGGACGTGACATCGTCACCGACACCAGCGGAGACAAAACTAACAGGATCGTTGGATGCTCTGTGTTTTATATAATCATTGTGTTAATGTTCTATGCCTTTAGTATTGTTGTGCTGATGGTCAAATACATTCGCCGTGAAAGAGAAGAGGCAAATCTCAGAAATTATTATTATGAGTTTGTCTCCAGAGAAAAGTTTCGGTCGGCGCAGTTTAGAAACCGGCAGATTATGAACAGACTGTTCTGCAGGGGTTCTCAAACCGACCAGCACACGGGTCCTAATGAAAGAGAAGATGGTGAAGGGACTGTCTGCGAAGTAAACAGCACAGCAAATCATTCAAATCAAACACCACCAACAGCCAGGAATGATAGTTGCCACAACCAAAGCCAAGCTACAGTCAGACTTGGTGGAAACAGCGAAGTCTGTTTGAATAAAGACAGTTTCCCGTTTCTGGGCGTCAGAAACCAGATATGCAGGAATGGATTTTTCGGGAAGAAGTTCTGCAACAAGCAATTGTGTTCTAAATGTGTGTCGGAAAGTGCACCGACGATTGACTGGGATGATGGGAGAAGTGGTGTTTCAAGTGATAAACATAAGCAAGGAATCGGAGATTTTGTAGAAGTGAGACTTAGCAATTCACAATATGCCATTCCTGGTACTTCCTCCAAAGGAAATAACCACAAAGATTCATATTCTAGCAAGGGAATTAATCATAAAGATTATTTACTGGAAAGGTTTAACAGTGTTTCGTACCCTATCTTAGAATGTGATTCCGACGTAGAGAACGAGGACGACTGTAAACAGCAACATATACAAACGAAATGGAGAAACGAGGATGTTCTGATTCATACTAATTATGACGCAGTGCCTGAGCATAGAGCCATAGTGTCTTCATGTTCTTTAGAAGTTTCAAATCTTCTCGCCAACTTGCCTCCTTTGGACATTGCCAGCAATAGCAATGACATGGACACTTTAGACGGACTGTCAAACCTGGACAGCGAGGCCGGGAGTCAGTCTCTCTTGAACTATTCAGCGAGTATCAGGGGTACAAACAGCGTGTGTGGGGGTCAGAGCAAAGAAAGTCCTGGGCTTATGAACCGAAGTGCCAGCGGAGACGACAGACTGAAAGATCTTAGTGACTTTTTATCTGAAAGAACGTCGCTCCTCTCCTGTACCTTATCTATAGACGACGGCGACGAGGATGCTATGACAAATGTGAGCTCCTCCAAGCACCATCCATGTGGCCTCTCTCTGAGATCAAGCAGCAATGGAAAGGTCAAAGAAGATGTCAGAAGCAATGGAAAATCTATCCTCAATTCTCTCTCCAAATCTTTAAGCAGTGATGAAGGCGAAAGGAAGAAGTTTCTCAACGATATTACGAATTTAACAGAAGAATCTCGTGTCTTTAAAAATCTGAAATACTTTCTCCGCGGTTTTTCTAAAGATGGCGGTGTTAAAGAAGCCTACGAGACCTTAAATTTGCTACCACGAGAAACGTTCTTTGGGCCTGGGAGTCCACAGAGTTACTTCGGTGATACATATAATGTATTAGGTCCACCCACAAAATTGGATACAATCTCGACTTACAGAAAGATGGACACTGTTGATAATCTGTTGAATATCGGAGAAAGCGATATCTCTGGCAACCATTGGGATAGCGAAGATGAGCTGTACTCTGTGGGTGATAGGTCTTCCAGCTTTGGGGATTATTGGATGGGTGAGGCCAGCGAATCTCAGGTGATCGACATTAGTCAACCACTGGTCAAGCGTCAGCTGGACTCTACGACTGAGAATATACTGAGTAGAGCAATCACAGGGATTGTTGAGCCTCAAACAGACGCAGCTGGGCAGATAGAGCACGTTGGGGCGGCAGCGCCGGAAGCCACCAGAAAAGAGACAAAAGTCTGATATCCTGTGTTCTTGATATAAAATGTTCCATAATCTGTTAGACGAATAAATTAAGCAAATATAACATTTGTTGTAATTGATATATTTCCATTTTCTCCTCGAGGATGCTTATAACAACTTAAGAATGGAGCTGGAGGCGGTCACCAAAGATTTCAGCTGGTTTTCAGCTGGTTACACATAACACACACACGCGCACACACACGCACGCACACACGCACGCGCATATACATACATATATATATATACACATATATATATATATATATATATATATATATATATATATATATATATATATATATATATATATATATATCGTGATTGTAACTGACTCAGAAAGCATGCTGAGGAAGATCAGGACACGTATGCTTCGTACAGAGTGGCATGCTTAGCTGCGGAGGACACGGCTAAAGAGTATTGTTTGGATTTTTTTCACCAAGGGACGATGCTGCGTTGGGAAATGAACAGGCGGACAGAATGGCTGGCTCTGCATAACTTGGTGGAATACTGATGCATGATAAGGCCGACGTAGATAGTGTCTTGTGAGAGCGTGTACAGATCGGGGGAGCAGATGGATTACCAGTCTGGTGACATTGAAGAGGGGGAGGGGGGCGGTGGGGGACGAGAGGTTCTGGCAGATGCTCGAGGCTCAGAGGAAAGGCAAGGCGGACGTTTAATCAGAATGCTGCTGGCACCATTAGTATCAGAACTCCTCGCTGGCTGCTGAAGATGGGGACTGAGCGCTTATGGAAATGCCCCGAGTGCTGTGATGTTCTTGAATCAAATAAATTCAAATCAATCTTCTTCGCGTTCACCGGCTGTAAACTCTGGTTGTTTCTCCACTTCTGGACTTTATAGTGCTATCGGGTGGCAGACACACTCCGACTTCGAAGCAAATGAAGTTAGGGGAAGTGGGTCTATTCACCACCCCCCCCCCCCGACTCCGACCCTGACCACCCAACAATGGGACCCATAAACCTATGCGAGGATATTTCCAGCTACAGGCCAAAGGTTTCATGCAGCGGCGGTTTTCTCAGTCGTTTTTCCAGTCCCGTCTCTTTTTGTATGATAGCGAGGTAGTTCATGGGCCTCCCTCTGAAAGTTGAATTAAGAATCTACATCATAGCATTCGGGACAATCCCACAAGCGCTCTGTTCCCACCTTCAGCAGCAAGCGAAGAGTTCCAATTATGATGGTAACAGTAACTGGCTTATTGTACCTCCGTCTCACCTTGACCTTGAGTGCTTAGCGTCGGCCAGATCTCATGATAACACTTTGCAGCGTCATGCTTCGCAGACCGTAGTCTTTTTCTTCTTTCTTCTTTCATTCGTTTGACATAGATTATCTCTGTCTGCAATGTTGTCTCTTGAAATGAACTTCGCTGTCTTTTGTAATTCACTCAGCGACCCGTAAAGTTTGGCTTGCCTCGGTTTCTTCTCTTTATCAAAATTGTGCCCTCAAATGATGCATCTGGGACAGTTTACGGGGACGTGATCTGTTGTCTGCCAATCCATATATTTCACATGTGCACATGGCTGAATCACCGATTTTAAATTGTATGTACGTGTAGCTGCGACGTAGTGCCCTGTTCTAAGGCGTAGAATAATAACTTGCTCTGGTCTGTCCATAAAATGGTAAAATTCTTCTGCAGGTTTTGGTGGCTTTCTGAATGATTGGATTATCTCTTCTTCTGTTGATAAGAGACTGCTGCGTCAGGTTGTTCTTCATTTGTACCTTCCTTAGCTAGTTTATCAGCTCTTTCATTTCCAGGAACTCCACAGTGGGATGGTATCCATGACATATTTACCTTACACCAGTTGCCTAGTTTGGAGAGTAGTGTTCGTTTACCAGGTAGTTTTCCAGATTGGAGAGCCTGAAGCACCGCTCTTGCATCAGTTAGGAATACCAAGGGTTGTCAAATATGACGTATATTAAACAGTCTCTCTGCTGTTATTTTGATACCTTGAACTTTTGCATCATAGTTGTGACAGTGCTTTCCTGTAGGTATGGTGGCTGTATATCTGGTATTATTTGGATGCTCAGTATACACTCCTGCTTCTCCATTTCTGCGATATAGACACGAACCAAAAGACTGTGGGTATTCATCATCAACCAGAGAGAGAGGGTGGCTGTTTTACGTTGCAAGCTGTTTTGTTCTTTCAACCGCCTCCTTTAGAATACGTATATTATCCTGTGGATCACAGTTCTTCTTTGTTAAATGCTCTTTGCACTTCTGTCTGGATGTTTATTGGCAACTTATAATCCTGTTTCCAAGGGGTTCGATCTGGAATAGTATTTAAGGGGCTATCAGTTGCAGGCAGATCATTGGTTAGCCTACAGAGTCGTTAGGTTTGGTGGATGAAACTGCTTCTCTTTAGTGGCCCCATTGTTAGATTTTTGAATTTTTCTTTCATATGGTGTTTAGGCAGGAAGATTTTTGTGCTTGTATTAGTATCTTAGTGTCACTACGAAGACATAAAGATAATTTAGAAATTAGATTAAAAAACAACACCCTGAGACAAACAGAAATTTCAGTATATCGGAACAACTTTTACATCAGACGGAAAACTGAACAGAGAAATATGCTCCAGATGTGCCAAAGCTAATCAAGTAATGGGTCAACTATCTCCCCTGTTGACACACAAGCAGATACCTCGGAGTACTAAAGTGAATCTTATCAGAACTATTTTTTGGCCAACACTATGCTATCAATGACAAACGTGGACTCTTACATCCTCCAATGAACGTAAATTTGAGACAACAGAGATGAAATGCCTTAGAAGAGCTGCAGTAGTTTCAAGGAAAGACAGAATACGAAATAATGAAATCAGACGAATGCTAGGAATAAAGTCAGTCTTACAGGTCATCAAAGAACAACAAATGAAGTGGTTTGGACACCTAACAAGAATGCCCTGGTACTATCCGCCACATCGAGCCACACTAAAACGTTACAACGGGTATAGAGCAAGTGGAAGACCCCGGAAAATTTAGAGTGATGGCATTAAGAACAGCCTTACAGAAATTAACATCAGACTTAATAGTGCTCTTGACAGAGCTCATCAACGAACATTACGTCTCCCCCCGACACTTCGATGAGGTACAAGGTGGAAGAGAAGAAGAAGAAGTGTCTCTTCGTTCTATCAGTGTTTGGATCATCGCCATCTTCTCCATCTCGGCTATAGGTGTTGATTTCATCCTGCCCTTTATGATTCTGGACGCTTGATTTTGTACCTTGTCTAATTTTTGTAGTGTGTTTTTTTTTTTTTTTTATGCTGAACTCATGCAACTGACACGTGTTCAAGGTGTGGTCATAAACTTTGCTGATAAACTTTCAGAAGTATTTTTCCTATTTGCGCCCCATGTCGTTCCCCTTAGTTTTCTTAGGATAGCGATTTTCCTTCTGGCTTTGGCTGCTGCCTTGTGATGTGTTTTTTCCATGTTAACCTATCATCAAACGTTACTCCAAGGTAAATGGGCTGTTTATTCTCTCTTAGTGGTTCTTCCATTTATCTGAAATACGCCTGATTTTTGTTTTTGGAGAGGGTGAAGAGGGTGATACTACACTTGTCTGTGTTGATGCTGACACACAATTTATCAGACCGTAATGATCTATGTGTGCCTCTGCACTGTTCACTCACTCCAAAACACCGTCCCAACATCTAAATTTTCATACGTCGATTCACTACCAAGTGGTGCAGAACCGACCAGTCTATCCGCCAGCTCGTTTCCCAACACACAAGCATTACCTGGAGAAAAAAAATCGAAAGGATACACACTACTTAGAAGTGATGCTTGCCACTCTACACGGAACATGTCTGTCTACACCTTTCTCAACATACTCTGTGAGTCTGTTACAATGACGACATGTGTGTACAGCTGATTCTCAAGCCAGCTGAAGGTAGCAGTGACTGCCTCCACCTCCATTCTCAGACTAGACTTTGATATCATATGCCAAGCTTTCTTGCACTAAGCGACGCCTATTCGCTTTTTGAAATGAACCTCCATGCTTTGTCTACCTCTCAACACAGAGTCATGGATATAGATCATCACATCACCTGGGTGGGAATTGTCATAAATCATTAATTCTCGTTTCTTCATCTCACTGTTACTAGGTTATAACCCAGTCTCGTGGTTTTCTGTATTCGTCTTGCACTTCTCGGGAGCTTGAGTGATGAATTTGTTCAAACTTTTTTGCGGGTTTTATCTACACCATTTATTTATCTCTTTCTTAATCTTTCTCTCGCCTTTCTCCCCGATGTTTTACTGTAACAAGTCTCATATGCAGTCTGGCCTGGCTACATTCTCACTAGATAGCCAAACCATTGCATTCTTCTTCTTCTTCGTTCACCGGCTGTGAATTCCTGCGGATTTCATTCTTTGTCAATATAATCCAGACATGGTCTTATTCCAACTTTCTCTCTAATGCTTGTTAGTATTCGTAACCCTGTCTCGTCTTGTGTTGATAGTGTCCTTGCGGAGACAGCGCATTTCACATGTAGTTATTTTATGTTCTAGTGCCCTATTCATTGTCCATGTTTGGCACTGATAACATAAGGTAGAAATAAAAATGCTGTTAATCATTTGCTGGAATTATTAATTGAACGGGAGTCCCCGTGGCGGAGCGGCTAGACGATCGCCGCGGATCGGGAGGTCGTGGGTTCGCTCAGAAGGACGCTCCCTGAAGGATCCGGACTTTTTAAAAAATGACCTTGGCTCCCAGGTCGACCCAGCCTTGAGTGGGTACCGGGTGCAGTCCCGGGAAGTAGAGGCGGCCGTCGTGATGCTGACCACATCACCCATCTTGTGCCGATGGTCTATAAAAAATATAGGTCTAGCCCTGTATCCTCAAGGCGTGGAAAGGGTCCTTTACCTTTTTTTTAACTATTAATTGAACTTCTGATTCTGCAGCACCTGACTGGAAATAAAAACCATCTCCCTACCTTGTTAGATAATTAAGCAAAATCATGTGGCCACCGACAAGAAACTGCAGCAGTCCCGCAAATCGGAGAACACTGGTTTAGACATATCTTAGAATAGTGGTAGTCGAAACTACTAGAAGAATGAGAATCCCAAACCCTATCTCCCTCAGCAGTAAATAAAAGACAAGGTGAAGAGGAGAAGGAGAAAGAAAAAGTTGAAACTTCCAGAAGAATGAGAATCACAAACACTATTTCCCTCAGCAGTAAATAAAAGATAAGGTGGAGAGGAGAAGGAGAAAGAAAATGTTGAAACTTCCAGAAGAATGAGAATCACAAACACTATTTCCCTCAGCAGTAAATAAAAGATAAGGTGGAGAGGATTTAAAGACAGACAAAGAAAACTAAACAGCATCACTCATGAAAACAATGAGGCCAAACACAAACACATGAAGTCAAAACTTGGTTCTCAATCTTGCAATATCCTCCTTGTTTTTAATATAAACATGATATCAGAATTCCCTCAAGCAAAATACATGTTTAGCAACAACAAAACAAACTGTCTGATGTCCCTAGGTTAACTCCGGGGCTCCATTTGGGAGAACAAAGAATAAACCCATTGCCCCCCCTTCCCTTCCCCAACAAGAATGTCATACAAGTTATTCAGGTTACAAGGCCAGGCTTACCAATTTTTGTGCGCCTAGAATACAAGATGAAACCAAGGGTGCCAAATGGAGAGACTAGAACTCTCTATGTCACGCAACAGCATCTCAGGCAGTAAGATCAAAATTACGTATACTGTGTTGGTTGTTATGAAACTACTCCCTCCACCTACACCCCCCTAACAATTGCCATCTGACCTATAAAGTATGTTTTTCCATGTTTCTTTATGTTTTTGTTGTTGTTATCGATACAGCCGTGCATTTTTCGCCCACTGGCCAATGAATGTAGTGGAATTTATATGTTTTCTCAAGCTGTTTTCCTCCGAACAAGGTGTTCCACTTGTCTTGTCTCGGAGGGAGTAACATTCTTCTATTCTCGCTGAGTTTGGGGCACTCAAAGAGATGATGCTCAACAGTTTCATAGGGGTAGTTACATACAACCAAACCATTATAACAGATAAAACTGCATTCACACAGATCATGTTTTGGTCAACCAAACCATTATAACAGATAAAACTGCATTCACCCATATCATGTTTTGGTCAACCAAACCATTATAACAGATAAAAACTTCATGTTGGTCAACCAAACCATTATAACAGATAAAACTGCATTCACACATATCATGTTTTGGTCAACCAAACCATTATAACAGATAAAACTGCATTCACACATATCATGTTTTGGTCAACTAAACCAGTATAACAGATAAAACTGCATTCACCCATATCATGTTTTGGTCAACCAAACCAGTATAACAGATAAAACTGTATTCACCCATATCATGTTTTGGTCAACCAAACCAGTATAACAGATAAAAATGCATTCACACAGTTGATGTTTTGGTATGTTTTTTACACAAAAATGGTAAATAAGGCTGTAATTGGCAGTGTTAACAATCACTTATTTACTGATTTTAAAATAAGAAATAAACGACAGAAGCAGAAAGTAGTATGAGACAGACCACAGTTCCACTGAACCGTTACTCTCTTTGCGGCACAAAGTCTTCGCTTCCCTTGAACCAAGGTCAGTGGCCTTTTGAAGGTCAGTTTTTTCTTGTAAATCTGCCTCGTTCCAGATTTGAGTCCAAGATCTTTGGACTAGTACTATTAGCATGTAGATTCTTTGTTGGCTACTGAAGAGGGGTGTGGAGCACTTAAGGGAATGTCCTGAGTGCAGTGATGTTTATTCATGATTGATTCACTCATTTATGTGAGCACCTAGCCACTACACTAGTGCAGCTCTCTTGTCAACTGATTAGTCACCAACTTATTTTAAAACAAGAAACATATAAAACAGACATAGAAAAAAAACTCAATGAGACAGATGCAGGTTACAATGAATTCTTCTCCTTCTTCACATTCACCAGCTGTAAACTCTAGCGGAAAGTTCTGATTGTTCATGAACTTCTGGACTGCACTCCTGTTCCAGAATCTGAGTGTTGCGTGTGCACCCATTTTACAGATCTGACTCATTAGTATGCAGACTGCTGGTTCCTTGCCTCTCAGGCAGATGCACTCCAACTTCTAAGAAAGCTATCTTCCCGTAAGTCGACTCTTACGACATGTTTTTGGGAAGGGAGAGGGTCTATTCTTGTTTTCCCTATAATAAGGACCTGAAACCCACACTGGGATACAATAAATTGTTATTCTTTGTCTCTAATGACAATGCCAAAGAATCGCTGTACTAACAGAACTAAATGTTATTGTCATCTACATCTTCTTCTGCATTCATCTTCAAAAGGGTGACTAGCAGAGTGTGTTGTGGTTTACAGCAAGGCTGTGATACGTGGGCCTTTCAACTCATCAGGTTTCAGCAAAACTCTAACTAGTAAAGTATACCAGCAATAAGCTGTGCTATGTGGTGTCTGTGTCCTCGTTACGATTATAGATGGGGAAAGTATATTAAATGCAAGTCTTCTCTACTAACAAGCATACAAAAGTGTTCACAACAAACACATCCATTCAAGTCTTCTATTCTAACAAGCACACAAAAGTGTTCACAACAAACACATCCATTCAAGTCTTCTATTCTAACAAGCATACAAAAGTGTTCACAACAAACACATCCATTCAAGTCTTCTATTCTAACAAGCATACAAAAGTGTTCACAACAAACACATCCATTCAAGTCTTCTATTCTAACAAGCATACAAAAGTTGTTCACAACAAACAAATTCAAGTCTATTCACAAGCAACAACATCACACAAACAAGTCCATTCTTCTATTCTAACAAGCATACAAAAGTGTTCACAACAAAACACATCCATTCAAGTCTTCTATTCTAACTTCATACAAAGGTTTCACAACAAACACATCCAAGTCTTCTATTCTAACAAGCATACAAACACAACAAACACAGTCATTCAAGTCTTCTTTCACAAGCATACAAAAGTGTTCACACAAAGCATTCACTATAACAAGCATACAAAAGTGTTCACAGCAACACATCAATACAAGTCTTCTCTTTTCACAAGCATACAAAAGTGTTCACAGCAACACATCAATACAAGTCTTCTCTTTTCACGAGCACACAAGTGTTCACAACATAAACAAATTCATCATGTTTGCTTTTTTGGTAGGACTGGCAAACTAGTTGGTCTTCTCCATGGGAAACTATACCAAAATGGTGAAATATTATACAATAAAAGCTAGACAAATGATAATACCCTGGACAGATGAAGAGAGTAATTAAGATGTTACAAAAGAAATGGACTCACAAAGAAAATCAACTGCCCACATCCGAAAGAGACAATCTACATTCTTTGGTTCGATCAAGAGAAAAAGAAAACTAAGTACATTGTGGGGTTGGAAAAGCTGAAGGGAAAAAACAGACACAGGAAAATGAGCAAAGAAGATGAACAGTTTGACGTCATAGTATGGAAAACCATGTGTGTCAGAAATTACTGAAAGTTTACGAGAGAGAAGGCTGTAGATACACATAACTATAGACACATTTTAAGAAGAAGAAAAAAGCTAGCGAAAAATAAGTGATGTTACTACGATAATAAGACAATTGGGAATAGACTTGAAATTTTAACAAAAAGGACACACTGCACAATTTACTAAATGGCACACTTTTCTGTGAAACCAAACTGAAGCACTTTGTTTGTAAGAATCCTAGGTCAGCCCAGCATAGCACAAAATATCTTGGGAAGTTGAGTCGGCCAGCTTGATGTTGACCACACTGCCCAAGAGTGCCAAATGGTCTCTAGGAATATAGGTTTAGCATCATATACCCAGTGTGATCAAGGTACAGTACAGAACAGAATGGGTGTCGATAGCCTAACATAACTTGGAGATATACTCAGGAGGAGATCGGAGCACTGGTCATGTCTAATGTGGAATGAAGATGACCTAAAAAATTAATGAACCCAGTGTGCCATTTGGCATGAAAGGTCTTCTTTACTTTTATTTGCATTTATATTTTTTTGTATGTTGTCAAGTGCTCACTTCTATACAATGTAGCACGTACTTGGCACACACAAAAATTGCAAAATACACAAAGCAATGAATTGTGCAATATACCCTTTGTGTTCTTACTTTCATTCATAAAGACTATTTTAAGCTGGCGAAAAGTTACCAAACAAGATATGATTACAGAAGCCTGCAAACAATAACTTATTCAAAACAAAAGCAATGTAGAAAGAATGCATAAATCACAGTTCCAAATGACAGCAGCTCCAATTGCGAAAACAAATTATATATCAACTATGAGACTCATCAGATAAAACAACTAGGTTGGCTTTAACAGATCTCTCTGTCTCAACAATGAAGGTTGGCTTTAAGATCTCTCTGTCTCAAAAGGTTGCTTTAACAGGTCTGGCTGTTAAACTAGATCTCTCTGTCTCAACAATGAAGGTTGGCTTTAATGGATCTCTCTGTCTCAACAATGAAGGTTGGCTTTAATGGATCTCTCTGTCTCAACAATGAAGGTTGGCTTTAATGGATCTCTCTGTCTCAACAATGAAGGTTGGCTTTAATGGATCTCTCTGTCTCAACAACTAGGTTGGCTTTAATGGATCTCTCTGTCTCAACAATGAAGGTTGGCTTTAATGGATCTCTCTGTCTCAACAATGAAGGTTGGCTTTAACAGATCTCTCTGTCTCAACAATGAAGGTTGGCTTTAACAGATCTCTCTGTCTCAACAATGAAGGTTGGCTTTAACAGATCTCTCTGTCTCAACAATGAATGAAGGTCTCAACAACTAGGGCTTTAATGATCTCTCTGTCTCAACAATGAGGTTGGTTGGCTGTCTCAACAATGAAGGTTGGCTTTAACAGATCTCTCTGTCTCAACAATGAAGGTTGGCTTTAACAGATCTCTCTGTCTCAACAATGAAGGTTGGCTTTAACGGATCTCTCTGTCTCAACAATGAAGGCTGGCTTTAACAGATCTCTCTGTCTCAACAATGAAGGTTGGCTTTAATGGATCTCTCTGTCTCAACAATGAAGGCTGGCTTTAACAGATCTCTCTGTCTTAACAATGAAGGTTGGCTTTAACGTATCTCCCTGTCTCAACAATGAAGGTTGGCTTTAACGGATCTCTGTCTCAACAATGAAGGTTGGCTTTAATGTATCTCTCTGTCTCAACAATGAAGGTTGGCTTTAACAGATCTTCCTGTCTCAACAAGGGAGTGACGAGAGGTTCTGACAGATGCTCGAGGCACAGAGGAAAGGAAAGACGGACATTTAATCAGAATGCTATTGGCACCATTAATCTGAACTCTTTGCTGGTTGCTGAAGATGGGGGCAGATCGCTTATGGGAATGCCCTGAGTGCTGTGATGTCGGTTCTTGAATCAAATCAAATCAATCACATCAAAGACTCGCCACAGGCTTACAAAGAGTCCTTTCTTGAGTGTTAACATTCTTTGTATCCAATACAGCAGTGGTTCCCAAACTGTGCACCACGGTGAAATATTTGAAGATACACGAGTTTTATTTGTTTTGATCTCTTACAAGCGAATAGTCATACTTTTACTTAGGTTAGGGCGGTGTGGAAAATTTGTAATTGAAAAAAAAAGGCACCGCGGCTAAGAAAGGTTTTGGAAACACTGCAATACAGTGCCAAACATGGACACTATCTAAAGCTCATGTATGCAAAATCACCACTTGCTGTAAGAAATGCCTGAGAAAAGCCGCCAACCTACCCATATGAGATCGAATGAATAATGATACTATCAGAGAGATCGTGGTAACAACACCTTGTACTAGACTGATCGAGAAACAGCAGATCACATGATCTGGATATCTCATAAGAATGCAGCAAGATCAAGTACCATCACAGGCCTTACATCTCAGAAGATCAGCTGCAAGAGCAACATTAAAGACACTCTAAGCCTTCACAACATGGCAGCCAGCGTGCACTGAATCACAAATTATTCCTCCCCACGACACCGTTTGGCAGAAGTGCTTGATAATGATGATGATGATGAGGATAGGCACCATTAAGACAGTAACACTGAAACACTGCAAATAATCACATTTGCCTCCTTAAAACAGAATCATCATCATGAATCAGTCGGTTCTTTACAGAAGGTCACTTTCATCACAGCATGCCTGAAATTCTCCTTCTCTGGTCAATTCTCCAGTCACTTCTCCAGTCAATTCTCTAGTCAATTCTCCAGTCAATTCTCCAGAAAAAGTATAACTCTTGACAATAAAATTCCTGACAAATCTTGACAACAGCTTTCATAATAAATCTTGATGGGGAACATCACAAATCTTGACAAGAAAATTCATGAAAAGTTTTGACATCTTCCAAAATAAATCATGACAAGCAACGGCAGACAGACATGCACACACAAATCATTGCCACCGGTCGAACATACAAGCTGCCAAAGGATTCTCGAATACAAGCCTCATGTAATCACCTGCAACAGATCAAAGACAAAGGAATGTTACTATTTCAGCTGACCAGTTTCCAATTCTACAACATTTGAGAACAAAATGCTAAGCATTGTACCCCTTTTCCAAGTCTGTTTTCATCCTGGATATATCGAGACCAAACGTGCTGGAATGGATTCCGATCTGGACAATGAAAAGACCGCAAAGATGGAACAAAATGGAGTATTTAAATGCAAGCCCTTTGTGAGATATAATAAAGCTGAGTGGTCTCAAGGTATGGTGTCCGCCTCAAGTGCTGGAGGTTCAAGTGCCGGGGAAGGCTAGGGTTTTTTCACATGGACTTCTAGTAATATCCCCTGATCTCTGAGTAGTAAGACTGAATCTCCGTGTGTATTCTTGCTCACGTTTAAAAAAAAATCGTTTGGCAGTTTAATATCTAAAAGAGTTGCCTAACGAGCTGCCCGGGCAAAATTTGGAGTTGAGAATCTACCAAAACTATTTCAGGATCCTTGCTGGTGCAACAGAGTTTGTGCACTGTACTGAGATTCTTTGGACTCAGGCTTGAGTTAGAAGTAGAACGGAGCACTTATGGGTTACATCCTTGTGCCAGGATAATGTGATACTGCCGTGAAAGATTGTTTTTGTACTAGGATAGGAATAAACTCACAGGGAGCAAGTTCAGCAGGGATCTACCAGTCGTCAGTAGAAATTATCCTCGTCGACACGCGTTTCGGCCCACGATTCCTAGACGCATTCGGAGGTGTGCCCTCCTGAGTTCATGAAGCTCAGGGCTGGTTCCCTGCTGCACGGGATTACCGGATGGTGTTTTACTTTCGGCCAGAGACAAGACGACTTGGTGGTTTCGCAGGAGGTACTGTGAGATAAGAAGTCGCCACGGCAGCCTAATTAAAGCAGTCAGCATGCCTGGACGACCGAGCGACAAGCTTACTTTGGTTTACCGGACACATGTTGGACTTTTATTAGCAGTTGGCAGAGGAACACTGGCAGACAATTCGGACACGATGGACTTTCAAAGGGGTGAGAAACCCTTTTCCACTAGACACCCATTTAACCATTCTGACTTTACTATGTTGATGTGTTTCCCCGACACACAGTTAATGCTTCTGGTTGTGTTCGTGCCTTCACAAATGTTTAGGCGGTCAGGATATTATTATCATTATGATCATGTAGCAGGTCCTTTGCAGAACGTCGCTCTCATCATGGTCTCCGTGAAAAAAAAACTGGGTCTCTCCCCAGCTCTCCCACCTCATGTACTTTCATACTCAAGGAGTCACTTATATCCTGTGGCCATCTTCATGTTGGTCAGCCCCTGCCCCTCCTTCCTGGTACCATGCCTTCTGCTATTATTTTTTCCCAATCCGTCGTGGCACTTGATATGACCAAAATATTTCAGCTTCTGAGACAGGAGGTGATATATGCACCTTTGGGCCAAAAACATCAAATTTCAACAAACCCCTAATTGGTTGCCTTTTATGACATGCTTGTTAGGATGTAATAGATCTTTTCTCTGGCCCTAATGGGGTCTCAGAACCTACACGGAATGCATGTAGGTCAGACAGCTGTAATCTTACATAACAATGTGAAGTAGCTGTATGTTTACCTTTCTTACTGTTTCTTTGATAAAATCCTTCCGGTCAGATAAATCAAACAATGGGTAGTTATCATACACCTGGCAATAACAGAAGCATTAATAAAAGTTAAATGAAATATATACTTTTAGTTACACATAACAAGACAAAATGTGAATTATTTAAAATGTGTTTAACAGATGAGTTGAGTTGATTCAAGAACCGACATCAAAGCACTTGGGGATTTTCTCATAAATGCTCGTCACCATCTTAGCAGCCAGAACAGGAATCCGACACAAATGGTGCAAGACATCCGTCTTGCTCTTTCTCTGAACGTCAAGTATGGGCCAGATCCCCTCATTACTCCTCATTGCATCACTCTCACCAGACTGGAAATCCATTCGCTCCTTCAAACACGTGCTCCCATAAGGCACTGACCATGTCTGCCTTATCATGCATCAGTATACCACCAGGTTGTGCGGAGCCAGCCAGCCAGCCAGTCTGTCCACCTGTTCATTTCCCAACACACCGGTATACCCAGAGAAAAGATCCAGACAATGCTCCTCGTCTGTGACCTACTAAGCGAAACATGCCTGTCCTCAGTTACAATCAGTTACAGTCATGATGTGTGTGTGTCTTGTGTTCTCCCATTCGTAAGCTGGGTGTTGTTGTATCACATGCTAGGCTCTCCTGCACCAAATGTTGATCATTAGCTTTTACCAAGAACCCTCAGACACTTATTTTGCCTCTTGACAGTGAACAGTCTGTAAAAATAATCACATCACCTGAGCTATCAGCATCATGAATTGCTGAATTCCCACCTCTGTGCACCTGCTGGACACTTTCTTTACTTCTGGCTCAATGTGATTATGACTACACAAATCTGACTGTTCCAGTTGCACTCTGACCACTCCTCTCATCGCCTAATGTTCATCAGGAAGCAAACCTGTCTGAATGCGTCCTCCGCCTGAGCCATCCATGACTTCCCTCTTATCAGCCGCTGATCGTTAACTGCGTCCAGCAAAGGGTGATCTCTGCAGCTACTCTCTGATGTATAACTACGTCTGCAGCACCTTGAGCCCACCTGCAACAGTTGGTGAACCATGTGCTTAATGTTAACAGCATCAACTGCACTGCATTAGGACTTCTCCCATCTGGCTCTTTCTCTGAACAACTGTTCATCCCAGAAAGGGATGCAGAGGTGCTGAACCACATGTGGCGCGTGCACCTGGGCCATGACAAAACTGGTCAAACCCTTATCTACACCTACCACGGTCATCCTAAACACAGGTGAATTATATCAGACTCCAGGAACATGCTTCAGAAAATTCAACGTGCGGTATGCGCTCTGAATGGGTAGAAAGCAAGTAAAAATCGCACTTAACCTCCCTCACCTGGATTTACACACTTGGTCAGGAGAGCGTAAATGGTAATCAGCGAGCGGACCAACTGGCAATGCATGTGGGAAGATGCTTGGACAGAGCAGATATCGTCAACGCAGTACAGACTGGGCTAGTGGAAAATGAGAAATCTCTGACACTAACACAAGTGCGTGACATGGGAGTAAAGCATGGTGAAGCACGATTCTTCTACCTTCGAGGCCAAGATAGGAGACATTCTAACCAGCTTCTCATGGAAACAATTTGTAGAAGTACCTTGGAATGGCTGCTGCATCAGAGGACTGAGAACACATGGGAATGCCCAATGTGCAGTGACATTAATTGTGATATCATAACATCCTAAACAACACAAATTTACAACTGAAGTCTTTCCTTTTTCTTCTTCGTATATACTGGCTGTAAACTCTGGCGGAAAGTTCTTGTTGTTCATTCACCTCTAGCCTTTAGACTTGTGCTAAAACCTGTGTGTTGCGTGCACATCTGTTTTACAGATCTGACATATGCAGACTGTTAGTACCTTGCCTCTCCGACTTCGAAGAAAACTCCCAATTAGTCAATTCATAGGACATGCTTGTTGGGAAGGCAGCGGTTCTATTCTTATTTTCATCAAATGGACCCCCGAAATACACACGGGGAAACTGAAGAGCAGAAGTGGATAAACAACCTGGACCCCCCCAACCCCGACAGTTTCAGCTGCGAACATTAAGAAAATATTCATGAACCAACTCAACCCTTCATCTGTTTTCACCTCTTAAAGAGTGGTTGGTACTTGCACCTTTCAGGCCAACAAAACAAACTTCAGCAAATCCTCAATCCTGTTACAGCATGCTTGTTAGCCAGCCGGATCTTCTTTGTTTGCTTGTTAGCCAGCAGCGGATCTTCTTTGTTTGCTTGTTAGCCAGCAGCGGATCTTCTTTGTTTGCTTGTTAGCCAGCAGCGGATCTTCTTTGTTTGCTTGTTAGCCAGCAGTGGATCTTCTTTGTTTGCTTGTTAGCCAGCAGTGGATCTTCTCTTTGCTCGTTAGCCAGCAGCGGAACTTCTCTTTGCTTGTTAGCCAGCAGCGGATCTTCAATTTGCTTGTTAGCCAGCAGCGGATCTTCAATTTGCTTGTTAGCCAGCAGCGGATCTTCAATTTGCTTGTTAGCCAGCAGCGGATCTTCTTTGTTTGCTTGTTAGCCAGCAGCGGATCTTCTTTGTTTGCTTGTTAGCCAGCAGCGGAACTTCTCTTTGCTTGTTAGCCAGCAGCGGATCTTCAATTTGCTTGTTAGCCAGCAGCGGATCTTCTTTGTTTGCTTGTTAGCCAGCAGCGGATCTTCTTTGTTTGCTTGTTAGCCAGCAGCGGATCTTCAATTTGCTTGTCAGCCAGCAGCGGATCTTCTCTTTGCTCGTTAGCCAGCAGCGGAACTTCTCTTTGCTTGTTAGCCAGCAGCGGATCTTCAATTTGCTTGTTAGCCAGCAGCGGATCTTCTTTGTTTGCTTGTTAGCCAGCAGCGGATCTTCAATTTGCTTGTTAGCCAGCAGCGGATCTTCTTTGTTTGCTTGTTAGCCAGCAGCGGATCTTCAATTTGCTTGTTAGCCAGCAGCGGATCTTCAATTTGCTTGTTAGCCAGCAGCGGATCTTCTTTGTTTGCTTGTTAGCCAGCAGCGGATCTTCAATTTGCTTGTTAGCCAGCAGCGGATCTTCTTTGTTTGCTTGTTAGCCAGCAGCGGATCTTCTTTGTTTGCTTGTTAGCCAGCAGCGGATCTTCTTTGTTTGCTTGTTAGCCAGCAGCGGATCTTCAATTTGCTTGTTAGCCAGCAGCGGATCTTCTTTGTTTGCTTGTTAGCCAGCAGCGGATCTTCAATTTGCTTGTTAGCCAGCAGCGGATCTTCAATTTGCTTGTTAGCCAGCAGCGGATCTTCAATTTGCTTGTTAGCCAGCAGCGGATCTTCAATTTGCTTGTTAGCCAGCAGCGGATCTTCAATTTGCTTGTTAGCCAGCAGCGGATCTTCAATTTGCTTGTTAGCCAGCAGCGGATCTTCAATTTGCTTGTTAGCCAGCAGCGGATCTTCTTTGTTTGCTTGTTAGCCAGCAGCGGATCTTCAATTTGCTTGTTAGCCAGCAGCGGATCTTCTTTGTTTGCTTGTTAGCCAGCAGCAGATCTTCAATTTGCTTGTTAGCCAGCAGCGGATCTTCAATTTGCTTGTTAGCCAGCAGCGGATCTTCTTTGTTTGCTTGTTAGCCAGCAGTGGATCTTCTTTGTTTGCTTGTTAGCCAGCAGTGGATCTTCTCTTTGCTCGTTAGCCAGCAGCGGAACTTCTCTTTGCTTGTTAGCCAGCAGCGGATCTTCAATTTGCTTGTTAGCCAGCAGTGGATCTTCTCTTTGCTTGTTAGCTAGCAGCGAATCTTCTCTTTGCTTGTTAGCCAGCAGTGAATCTTCTCTTTGCTTGTTAGCCAGCAGTGAATCTTCTCTTTGCTCGTTAGCCAGCAGCAGATCTTCTCTTTGCTTGTTAGCCAGTAGTGGATCTTCTCTTTGCTTGTTAGCCAGCAGTGGATCTTCTCTTTGCTTGTTGGCCAGCAGTGGATCTTCTCTTTGCTTGTTAGCCAGCAGTGGATTTTCTCTTTGTTTGTTAGCCAGCAGTGGATCTTCCTCTTAGCCAGCCAGTGGAAACTTCTGTTTAGGCAGCAGTGGATGCTTCTCTTTGCTTGGGTTTCATTGGATCTTTCTCTTTTTCCCCAAAGGATGGACCAGGAATCCACACCAAGACTGACCTCAGTAACCTTGGCAAAGGATTCAGATGTACCAGAACCTCGCATTAGAGCTCCATCCTCATCTTCAGCAGCAAATGAACAGTTCCAATATTAATGGCACCAGTAACTGTCTGACTGCATATCGGTCTCACCCAGCCCTTGAGCATTGAGCATCTGCCACATCCACTGGTAACTCCTGGCAGCGCCATTCATCTCAGAACATAATGATCTATTTGCACTTCCCCACTGTTCACTCCCTCTCAAAGCGACCTCACAACATCCAGCTTGTCATACATCAATTCACCACCAAGTGGTGCTGAACCAGCCAGTCTATCTACCTGCTCATTTCCCAACACACCGGCATAACCTGGAGAGAATATCCAAAGGATGCTAACTACCCTGGGCCTCTGAAGTGATGCTTGCCACTCTGCATTGTGCATACCTGTCTCCACCTTTCTCAACATGCTCTGTGAATCAGTGACAATCACGGCATGTGTGTACAGCTGATTCTCAAGCCAGCGGAAGGCAACAGTGACTGCCTCCACCTCCATTCTCAAACTAGACGTAGGGATATCATATGCCAAGCTTAGTTGCACTAAGCAACATAAAATCTTGTCTACATAATATCTGCAGATAATATTATGCTAACCATAACTTCAATAACTTTTACATATGCCCTTACATGGGTGGTGAACACATGGTGCTGTGGTTTACAGCAAGACTGTGATATCTGCACCTTTCAGCAAACATGTCTGATTTCAACAAACCCCTAGTTATTCATCTTTCAGGACATGCTTGCTAGGGGTTGGTGGTGGGTCTCTTCTTTTTCCATCCAAAAATGGACTCCTTGAACCCACCTGAAGAAAAACAATTATTGATCTGACCTGCAAGCAAAAACCCTCAAATTTTACATAACATTAATATTATTCAACACATGAACAACATAAAACTATATCCTTACCTGTTTCATCACTGTTTTCATTGTCACAGTTTCCAAATCTGCACCATTCAAAAGCTTCTCGATTAACTTTTTAATTTCCTCATTCTGAAAGAGAAACAAGCCATCTCAGAGACCATGTTTGAACAGAGAAGTTTCGCTTACAGCCCTGACTTAGCCCCTAGTGATTTCACCTTTTTGATCCATTAAAAACCCACCTTGGCAGGAGACATTTCACGAATGATGCAGAAACTGAATGTGAGTTGAAAATGTGGTTTAGAAAACAGAGCACGTAGCTATACGCAGGAGGTTTTATAGGACTGATAAAACAATTGGACAAGTGCATCAATTTAGGTGGAAATTATATTGAAAAATAAAGGGAGAGTGCATGTGTTTTTTTTAAAAAACGGTTTTCAAGTAGTTTTTATCTTTAGTTTTTTTTTTTTCACGTCTTTAGTTTCTTTTTCAAACAACCCTATGTGACTAACTTATCAACTTCTCCTCGTACATTATTGGTGTGAAAACGTTACTGGATTTCCTTCCCCCTGGCCTAAAAATAAAGGTATCAGGTGACACATACCTTGACCCCGTCAGAATTTGTACACATCACAAATGGCTTTAAAACAGCTATTTTATTCAAGAGAAGCCTTATTACAAAGTTGCAAATACAAAGAGACTTAAGATGAATCTTTGGACCCATCAAAGATGCAAACAGCAGGAAAAGGAGAGAGAGAAGCAACACTGATATTAACATTCTGTTTAAATCCATACTGATTACTGGCATCATGAGGGCTAGTGGACTTCTCCAGTTGTTACGTTACACAATCCCATTTCTGCAGGTCCCACACTTATCCAGTTGTTATGTTACATGATCCTACATGATCTTACATTTCTCCATCTGTTATGTTACACAAGGGCTACTCAACTAGCGGCCCACGGGCCAAGTCGGCCCCCATTTTAACTTTGCTGAATAGCCCTGTCTTACATGATGCAACCTTTCTCCAGCAGTTATATTACATGGTCCCACACTTCTCTGGTTATCATGTTACACGATCCCATTCGTGTCCAGCTATTCTGTTTTGAGATCCCCCATTTGTCACATTATGTTACATGATGCCACACTCTATGAGCTGTTATGTTACAAAATTCGCCAGCTGTTATGTTTACACGATTTCACACTTCTCCAGTTGATTTAGTCCACGATCTCACACTTGACCAGCTATTAATTCCTTCTCTCTCTCATAGTTATTGTAACACAATGTGACCCAAAAACATATATTAGTTCCAGCAAAATCTTCCTGGAATAGAATTAGTTAAATGATTACCTGTGGGGGTTCCAGAACCATATTCTGAAGGGGGTAAACAAACAGACCCGCTGCCACCTAACAAGCATGTTGTAAAAGGCAACTAATTAGGGATGGTTCCTTCAAAATTAGTGTGCATCTCCCTGAATGATGAGGGACAAACAGTCTACATACAAATAAGCCAGCTGTGTCAAACTGTTGTGCATGCAAAACCCCAAGTTTTTGGAACAAGAACAAAGTCCGGAAGTGGATCAACAGCCAGAACATTCTGTCAAGAGTTAACAGCCGGTGATCGCTAGAGGATAAGAAGTTAAATGATATGTGCCCAGTACCGAAAGAGTTAACAGTAACAGCACAGCAACAGTACTTACAGATGGAGGCGACTTCTTTATCTTGGCTGCTGGTTCACCTTCAGAATCTTCAGATAATGAGTCATTTTCTACAACTGCAACAACAGCAAAAGAACTGTCAAAATTTCTAATTACATTGTTCTAAACACGTCACAGATGGAGTAGATCTCTTGGAAAATCAAATCTAACGGCACCTCACGGAAGTATACAATATTCATGTTTATTCCAAGTTGAGATTTTCATATTTCAGCGGCTACGACTGTATTTTATAAAATAGGTTAATAAATTTTACTAACAAAGAAGGGCCCCAGAGAAGGAAACTTGGAAGCTCAGGAACCTTGAGTCCCCATTTCTCTCCAGAAAGTTGATAGGTATGGAGGCTAAGTGCCCCTCCCCCCACCCCCAAACAATTTCGTATTATTTAAATTATATTTATATAATAATAGACTAATAACAAACTATCATAACGATGTTTTGAAATAATCACAAGAATCAGTCACCTTTCACTATTTGAGCGGTCTCAAGGAATTCTTTATCCATCTCAGGTCTACTAAGCTTACTAATGGAAAGGCACTAGTTCAGATGTAGGACTTAACAAAATCACTCAAAAACTCAAAGTGCATTCATTACAGCAACATTTTGTTTACAAACTTATTACAGTAATTGATTTCTTTTTTTTTTTTTGCTTCTTCCTTGGCCAAAGCTGTATAGTTTTATTTAGCTTTATTAACCATTCTGTGTGAATATTTTCATACAAATACAAACAATATCCCATTCAACCCTGAGGATTATAATAGTGTTCTTGAAACTTCCTATGTATACTTTTGCCTTTTCATATTTCAGTCATTTCTCCTTTTTCTTTCTTTTTTATGTCAAAGTCAGTCTTCAAACTGTTCAGAAATATCTCCGCCTTCACTTTCTGATTTAAAACAATCAAGACAATATCCCATTGCATCAGAAATATTCCCCAAACTCTTTCACCATGCTGGCCCTAACAATCAGTCCCACAATCAAAACATCACTCTAATGCGTAAACATAATGGGAACTCACCCAGAAAATTTAGTGGAAAATTTACTTTGAGGCTTCAATTACATTTATCGCAAAAGTCGCAATTTTAACATGGTGGCGAGCATCCAAAAAATATGGTTGCAAGATGTACGATTGTGTTAGCCAGGCGTAAAACGTCGGCAGATCACATAACGTGTGATCGTGGTAGTCAGTAAGTTAACCTTTAGTAACCAGGGTCAGGGTATGAATCATTATCTTAGACCCAAGGGACTGTAGTCATTTAATTCTCTGCTCCGTTCACGTTTATTAGTCCCCTTTTATTTTTAAAATTAGATTTGTATGTACATAAACACATTTTCTTTTAAATATATTAGTGGCCTGTGTTTTTTTTTGGGGGGGGGCAAACAATTTTACTGGCTATTCCCAGGTAATAGGCTGGGTTTTTCCCAAAAGAGTTTGCTGGGCGAACAGTATACTAGCATATGACATAATTAGGCGACTAAATAAAGATTTGCTTAAATCGTATTTATTGTGCCAAAAGGTGCAGATACTGCAGTCTAGCTGTAAATCACAACATGTGCCAATCATCCTTTTTAGGGAAGGAGGAGGAGAAAGAAAAAAATGCAGCAGGAGGATGTTATCATCACAATCATAAACCACATCTGCCGATAAGCGGCTTGGGGAGGAACAATTTGCGATCCAGTGCACGCTGACTGCCACTGGCTATTGTCATGCTGTGAAGGCATAGAGTGTGTTAATGTTATTGGTTCATATTTTCCACGGCTTTCCTCTTGCTGTTGTAGCTAATCTTCTGAGATGTAGTGCTTGTGATGGCATTTCATCTTGCTACATTCTAACGAGATGGCTAAACCACGTGATCTGCTGTTTCTCGATGAATCTAGTACAAGATATAATTCCCATAATTTGTCTGATAGTATCATTATTCCACTTTGCCGTGGTGGGAGAGCTTGTATTTCTCTACGACCCTGAGAGCTATGCCGGCGGTAGCGTAGCTACCAGCAGGGCCTCCCAAGCCGGAAAGGTCGAAGGGTAGAGATCAGACAAAGAGAGACATCCTGGTCCTCCAGGCCGGGGGTTGAAGCGTGGTGCTGACACCCCCACATTCGTAAAACTTTATCTCGTCACAAAATGAACCCATTAAAGATCACCCTTGATAATTGGCATCATGAGAGCTAATAGACTGAAATGGTTGGAGCATACTGAAACAATGTCAGGTGACACAGAAGTGAAAACTGTATGTATACACAAGGGAGATGAATGGTCGAGACCACAAGGCAGACCAAAAAGAGGATGGAGAGATAATGTCCAGACAGACCTGGAAACACTTGGTGTTACCAACTGGAAAGAGAAGGCCAACCAGAGAGATGAATGAAGCGAGTGATATCTGCAGCAATGAACCACAAGGGTTCAGAATGCAGAAGAAAAAGTATCATTTTTCACTTGATCTCAGATGGTTAGGTTGGCTGCTTTTCTCAGGCATCTCATCTCGCAGGTGGTGATTTTGCGTATATTGGCTATAGATAATGTCCATGTTTGGCACTGGTAGCTTAATGATAGAATGAATATGCTGTTTATTATCTGTCTCTTTGCACTCATAGTTATGCTTAAATGTCTTAACCCTTTAAAGACGGAGCCTTTTGGGAGTTTCGGTGCCAAGAAGACTGAGCCTTCAGAAGGGGATTCTTATAGTTTATTCACACAAAAAAATTATACAAAATAAAGCGTTTAATTAACATATACAGAATTATACATATATTCGTGTAGGAAATTGAATGAACTAACAGAATATCCAGCCATGTTTCAATTGCTATGAGGCAAGTGCTTTTCACCATCTTTTAGGCACAGGTAACCCCAGAAAAAAATTAACAGCCCACATGTGCAAGAAATGCGAGCAGTCTGATTGGCTATTGCGAAAACCTGCCAGCCAATATCAAGGCTTTTATTACTCAGGGCTGACCGATCGGCCCAGCCGTCCCTCTGGCTACTTTGTGTTGGGCCGATATTTCAGCCGCATCGTCTCCAGAGGGTTAATAAGGGTGACATTTGGTATATACGTGCACTTGCTTTCTGATATCTAGCTTCTATTTCTCTGTCAATGCTACCATCTTCCGTGACCATACTTCCTAGATATTCAAACTCCCTAACCTGATTCAGATCAGAACCATTCAGCTGTATGTGTAGTGGGCCAGGGGTTCTACCAACGTGCATTGGTTCAGTTTTGTTTGCATTGATCTTCATGTTGTATTTACTGCATGAGGAGTTTAACCTGTTAATGTGGTCTTGCAGTCTTATCTTCTTCAGGGTAGAACAAGCACTGGTCGTCAGCAAATAGTAGTTTGTTTAATGTGGGTGAATTAATAACTTTTCCTGATGTGTGTACTTCCTCATTATAAAGATTTGTGTCGTCTGTATCAGAACTTGCTTTGTCTATATATATATATATATATACACACACACCCAGATGTTTACCTGGCTTCTTCGTCTCCTTTTCTTTCTTCTCATTTTCCTTAGAGGATTTCTTGGTAGTGCCCTTTTTACTGTGTTTCTTTGTCTTTTTCTTCTTTGCAATCTAGGAATTTAAAAATAAACTAAAAAATTTAAAACAATAAAACTATGTAAAGCTGTTATCTAATTTTTTTAGACTAGTAACCTTGTCCTTTTATATTTTAATATCTATATGATTATTAATAGTTTCTCCAATTTGGTTGTCAGCGAAACAAATTTAAGTTGCCTAGGAAGACATTTTAAAAATCTTCCCAGGTGGTTTTCAGGTACCATTTTAAGGGGGAAAAGAATAGACCTACTGTTCCCACTCCCCCCCCCCCACCCCCATTTCAACAAGTATGTCGTAAAAGGCGACATATTGAGGGTATTTCCTTTGAAGTCAAAGTGAATCTGTCAGAGAAGTGAAGAACCAACAGTATGTAGAGCTGTAAAACAGATGTGCACATAAATCTCAAATTCTGGAACAAGACCAAAGTTCAGAAGAGGACGAACAACCAGAACTTCCTGAAAGAGTTTACAGACCGTGAAAGCTAACAAGAAGCTCTTCAGTTTGATTACAAGTAACCAAGAGACCAATCTTGATGCAGGGAAGTCAACCCTGGACAGTCAGCAAGATGGAGAACAATTATGTAAAACACTGAGACACAGAAGAACGATGAGAACCAGGGCTTTTTTTTTCTGGTGGTACACAGTACCAGCACCTTTCATAGGCACAATTTTCTCAGGTCTGCTGTAACAGACATTTTGTAGTGAAAATTGTCACCTTTTCCCAGGAGAAAGTCTGATGAGAACACCATGTACAGATAAATAATGTTATGACGATATCAGTCACAACTATGATGCAGAAGTTCAGGCCATCACAATAGCAGCAGAGAAACTGTTAAATTTACATCACATTTCACAACCAGTGGTATTCCTAACAGATGCAAGAGCGGTGCTTCAGGCACTCCAGTGTGGAAATGTATCTGCTATACAGACACTACTCTCCAAACTAGACAACTGGTGTAAGGTAACTATGCAATGAATACCATCCCACTGTGGACTTCCTTGAAATGAAAGAGCTGATCAACTAGCTAAGGAAGGTGCAAAGGAAGAACAACCTGACGTACCAGTCTCTTATCAACAAAATAAGAAGAGAATATTCATATCAATCAGAAAGCCAACAAGATGATTACCATATTATGGACAGACCAGAGCAAGTTATTATTCTAAGCCTTTGAACAGGACACAATCGACTTCGCAGCCACATGTACACAAATTTTAAATCGGCGAATCAGCCATGTGCACATGTGGACTGGCACCTGAGACAACAGATCACGTCCTCAAAGACTGTCCTAAACACAACATATCAAGGCAAAACTTTTGGCCAAAAGAAACACCGATGCAAGTCCAATTGTATGGGTCCCTGGGTGAATAACAGAAGACAATGAAGTTCTTACACTATTGCAGATATAGATCATCCACTTCAAGCGAATAAAAAGAAGAAGAAAAAGAATTACAATATCTTGAACAGTGCCATTTTTCCATTAGATACCAGCTGATTTTTTTTAAACTAAATATTGTTGAGATACAAATAAAACTGTCTCAAACAATAAACTGTATGTTACACAGAATGATTTAAGTAAACAAAATACTAAAACAAAATAAAGTGAGTCTTCAAAACTGAATTATTAAACAATGTGCAGCTCCAGATATATGCTCCCCCTTCTTGATGAAGATATTAATCATTATTACATTTTACCTCATCTTCACTCTCTTCTTCCTCCCCTTCCTCCTCTTCTTCTTCCAATTCCTCTCCATCTTCCTTTTCATCTTCATCAGTGTCATCTGCAGAGATATCATCTTTATCCGTCTTTCCTTTCTTTCCTGACTGCTTTGATTTCTGTTTCTTTGCATTTTGTTTCCCGCTCGCAGACTTGGATCTCTCTGCAATAAAATTCAGAATCTAACATTAAGACTTATTCATTCATTAATATCAATCATTCATTATTATAATTCACCTCAAAAACCTGGGAAGGTTCAATTTTAGCAATAAAAGCCTGAAGAAGACGGATGTGTCGGTCTTCTTCTTTTCTCTACTCCTGGAATTCCTCGCTGCATCAGGGTAGGAAGCAATCTCTGGGGACCCTTCTGTTCACTTCGTATAAATTACTTTTCAGTGTCTCTGGGTGGTTGACATCTGGGTCTTTTACCGCTGTATCTGTATAGCATTGCTCTCTGTGGTACCCTGTCTGTTGCCAGTCATGTTACATGGCCAAACCATTTGATTTGTTGTCTACTGATAAAGTTCAGTACTGGCTCTGTGCAGACTCTTCTCCTGTTAACCTAGCATAGAACTTAAACATTTTATTTCTACCGTGACTGTTTTCCATCTGTCTGTCCATGTTTGACACTGATAGCATAAATATGGTTAGAATATGTGTTGGCCGAAAGGAATACATTTCATAGCCCTGCTGTAAACAGGGATATCCTCAGATAAGCGAAGAAGATTCCACTCAAAACACAAATTCAAGTGAACTTAATTATAAACTGCCATTACTGTGTTTATCACTTTTATGGTGTAGGAGGCTGGTCTCTGAACCTGAGGATTTCGGGCCGTGTGGCTACTGCTGTCACCACGGACTGTGACGTTAACATTTTATTAGTGACCCTAACAATTAAAAAAATATTACTGAGGATTCAAACTCAGGTCTCAGCAGAACATCCCTGCATTCATAACCACTCGCGGCCAGTCACCATTTGAATATGGTTTCATAAAATTATCATCACCATGTGCTCTGTTCCCTAACATAGATGATTTTGCTCCACCACACCTTGTGATCTCCAACATCACATACTAATCCCTGTGCCAGCATCAGAACACGATAGAAGGTCATCAGAATCCTCAGCTGTCTTCTGCTGTCTCTCTTTTCAGAAGTATTTTTAATTGTCACAACTCCTCGTGTGGCTTCTGGGGGTCCCATTTGGGGGGTCCACTGCCCCCCAACAAGCATGTCGCAAAGTGCATCTAATTAGGGGTGTCTGCTTTAAAGTCAGAGCTCATCTGCCTATGAAGCAAAAATAAGCCAGATGTGTAAAAACGAATGTGCCCATAAAATCAAGTTCTGAAACAAGACTGAAGTCCAGAATTGGCCAAACAACCAGGACTTTCTGCAGGAATTTAAAACAGGTTAACACAAAGAAGAAGACTGTCACAACAGGCTCTTCACACAATGTAGCCCAAACAATTTGACTGCCTCTTTCTGATGATTGTGACATGTTATCTTCATGTCTTAGCCTCTTTCAAAATTTAGGTGTTGCTTAAGTTTCCATACACAAGAAATAACATATCACCAACGCCATTACAAGCATAACTCCAGCTGTGCTTATGAACTGTCCTTCAGCAGTTTTGATTTTTTTTTTACATTCTGTGTATTTAAACTTATGGGTCACCATGTATTTATATTATTACCAATGTGAGAACAGAGTGTAGAAGAAGAAGACAAAAGGCTCAAAAGTAATGGAAATCGATCACTTACTTTTGGCTTTATTTTTGCCTGTCAAATCTTCCGGCTGCATCAAGAAATTCATGATTCTATCAACAAGATTGACTTTTGTACCACTTCTCTCCAGCCCCAGTACTAAGCATATAGTTTTCAGTTCTGCGATAACCACCCTAGGGAAAAATGTGAAGATGGCAGAAATTTATAAGATTACACACGACACTAATGGACAAAACTAGAGACCGAATGATTCCATGTACAGACAAAAGAATAAATATAGCAATGAAACAAGACATACACACACACACACACACACAAATAGACAAAGCAATGATACAGACACACACAAAACGAAACAAAAAACAGATACATTAATGATACAGACACCAACAAAGTAACAGATACAGTAAAGATGCATATAGACACAATAACAAATACAGCAAAAATACATACAGACAAAATAACAGACACAGCAAAGATATATACAGACAAAAATAACAGATACAGCAAAGATACATACAGGCAAAATAATAGATGCAGCAAAGATACATACACACAAAATAACAGATACAGCAAAAATACATAAAGGCAAAATAACAGATACAGCAAAGATACATACAGGCAAAAAAACAGATACAGCAAAGATACATACAGACAAAATAACAGATACAGCAAAGATACATACAGGCAAAATAATAGATACAGCAAAGATACATACAGACAAAATAACATACAGCAAAGATACATAGAGACAAAATAACAGATACAGCAAAGATACATACAGGCAAAATAACAGATACAGCAAAGATACATACAGGTAAAATAACAGGTACAGCAAAGATACATACACACAAAATAACAGATAAGCAATGATATATCATCACCAAAAAGCGTGTGCTTTACAGAATGTCACTCGCTTTCATTGCCAATGTATCTTCAAAGTCCCGTATCCCCCTTTGAGTTATGAGTTGGATTATCTTCACATTCATAGGAGCTCAGATTCCCCCTTCAACATGTACATCAGCGTCCTGCGGTTAGTAGTGCCAGTCCTATGCTGGTTAAAAAGATTTCTTGTGCATTTGGTGTACCTCTCATGCTTGGCTGTGTCGATCTTTACTCCCATTCCTTGTTTTCTTATCAGTGATGTGGACACATTGCTTCTAATATCCTCGGAACAACCTATCTTAGTGATCAAGTTCACTCTGAACTGAACTGGCAATCTCCTGACAACCTCGTCCATGTCGATAAACCAAAATATCAACAAATGACAAAGTCGAGCCACTTTCCTGCAACTGCTGCTCAGTTATCAGCACTGTATACCCACTGATTGGAACTGGGGACAGCAAAGAACCTTGAGGCAATCATGGACTGATTGTTATCAGTTCTGAGGACCAACAACCACACCTGAGTTTCACCCATCTCTGGAACCCGACGGATGACAAAGGGAAATACTTCCCATTTGCAAGTATGTGCACTAAGTATCCACTTTGTGGAGGTCTGCCTCTGCCTCATTTTCAAAAACAGCATTACCCATTACTGCTGTCTCCTTCAGACTCAGAACACACTCCACTTGATGGACATCTAAACAGAATACAGCCACAACACTCCCCAGAGTGCAAGCTATATAAATACCCCTATGAAACTGTTGACCATCTTCTCTTTGAGTGCCCAAAACTCAACGAGACTAGACGAATGCTACTCCCTCCAAGACCAGACGGAGGAAAAGAACAGCTTGTGAAAACATGTAAATTCCACAAAATGGCATTGGGCCAAAGGGCGAAAGCTCATGCGCCGCTGGATCAATAACAACAACAATGGCTGTCTCCAAACCACCATGGAGTCTGACATGTCCAAAATTCCTCAGCTTTCAGGAGAGGATGCTGTTTACAAGCCAGTTTTCCTTGATGTTTAGGTCATGCAGGATGTTGACTTTTTTTTTTTTAAATACATACAGACACACATAACAGCAATAAAACATACAAGCAAAATAAAAGATATGCTTGCTACATGCAGCCAACAAATTACTGCAAATGATATATATATACACAAACACACTTTAAAATATATATATATATATTAAAAAGACAGATACAATGATTTTTCCTCCAGAAATGGAGCCCAAAAAACCCACATAGGCAAAAATGATAAATGACTAGATACACTTGATGGTAAACAAACAACCAGGCTACTTACTTGTTTAAACTTGCAACTCTTTTCTCATGCTCCTTGGAGTCTTTACTGTGAGTGAAACCACTAAACTGTTTGATGTTTTTCTTGATTTCATTGTTTGCTCCAGCCCGCAGAAACAAGACGCGATGTAGGGGTTTCAGATCTGCTGCTTTTGTAATGTTCAACTGGTGTTCAACTGTCAAAGACACAAATAAGTCAGATCATACATGTCATTATGAAGTGAGTTGCATAACATGGTCTCGTCAAGCCTGTGACTCAATATATCCTAACTCAACAAGCATTTGTCCTTGTGTGAGTTATAAGGACCCATTATGGTGGGTGGGGGAACAGACCCACTGCTGACCAACAATAATGCTGTAAAAGCTTAATTAGCAATTTTGCTAAAACCGAATGTGTTGGGCAAAATGCTTTTAAAAGGGCAAATGCAGAAGAAGAAGGAGATAAAGAGGAAGAAGAAGAAACAAGCATTTTTTAGGGGGTAACTTTCTAAAGAAGGACTGTTCAGGCTACTTACACGGTTTGTGTCCTTCTTCATCTGGTTCCTATCCCATAGTACAACCTTTTTCTTCTTCTTCTTCTCCTGTATTCACCCTGCGTTTAAGGGGTGTTGCTACTGTGTTGTGTACAGCTGGACAGCGATATCTACCCCTTTTACACCAAACCCATCAGATTTCAAAAAATCTTTAATTACTGACTTTTTACAACAAGCTTGTTAAGGAGAAATGGGTCTATTTTTTCCCCAGACAAAACCCACATGGGGAGTCTTTGGTGTGTGGCTGCTGCATCTACTGACAAGGCAACAGTTTAGTCTGTATACATCTGGTTCCTATGCAGTAGTATAGATTACATGCAGCACTTATCATCATGGGGGTTCTGGGGCCCCATTTATCATCATCATACATCACTTCTGCCATTAAGCATCGTGGGGAGGAATAACTTGTAAACCAGTGCAAGTTGGCTAGCACTGGCCATTTTCATGCTGTTAATTCTACCAGACCGCCCTCCGGTTTTTCTGGGAATTTCATAACTGTTCTGTATACCGCTGGCCCTAAATTTTGGCAATTTGCATAGTGCGTGAAAAAGATGCGTCACTGACTAAAAATAACCAACCAGTCGTCGTCAGTCCGCTTTGTTAGAGATTGCAAATGGCTTCCCCATGTGTGTGAATCAATTTTGTGTGTTTTAACGTGAAAAAATTCGGAAAATTCAGAATAAAGCGAGCAGCTGATGAACCAAGTTCTAGGCTTTTCACAGTCCAACAGGTGATCGATACTTTAGTTTATTCAGACTCTGTGATATATATACATATTCATTATCTGTGATAATTTCATAAAGAATACGTTCTTGAAATGACACTGTCAGTGAGAGCGCAAATGATGAGGAAAATCTTGAAAATTATCAATCTTGAAATAGATCGATAGTAGGAGGAGGGGGTGTGTCCATCAAACGGCAACATCTGGTGTTCACTTTGTGAAACAAAGTTGATCCTGATGAGTGAATTCGCACACAAAGGTGGAATATTGGCGCTAGATAAAAGGTAAGCCTATTTTCTACAATGTCTCCAAGTTTCATCATATTCTAGCCACTCGTTTGCATGTAACTAATATTTTTGTATATCAAGTTGGTTTTTTCGCCGTAATGCCCAGGAGCTCAGGTTATAGGGACAGTTAGGTTCAGGACCTTAGGTCTGGCATAAAGTGTCTTTTATATTGTCGATCCAAATTTTTCATGAATGCGCATTTGCAACACAGAAACAAAATGGTGACTGTACTTAATGGAGTGTAACCTCAAAAAACAACATGCTGTTGTGCTTTTTTGGTGGGTTTTTTTTTTTAAAGGGCTGCCTGCAATGAACAATCATAAGGAAATGCTTCCTGTTTATGCTGAAAAATGTTTATTATGAAAAGCGGTGCATAGTTGGATAAAAAAAAATTCTCAACGATGCTCTAAAATTAATGATAAAGTCCGATCTGGTTATCCTATTGAGATTGCAACACATGCATCTGTACAGCGGGTGGAGGAGATTATTAGAAGTGACAGGCAAGTAACAGTCGACTCTGGGTGCTCACATGGTTCAGCATAAAACATAATGAATGCATGGTTGATTGAAATTTAAGAAAGTGTGCTCAAGTTGGGTACCCAGACAACTGAGGGACGATTAGGCCTGTCCTTGCAGCATCTCTGTTGATAGGCAGATGAAGGAGAAGACATGCAGAACAGGATTAACACTAGGGATGAATCATGGGTGCATCACTACAAGCCTGAATCAAAGCGTGCTTCAATGCAGTGGAAACATCCTTCTTCGTCTTGTGTTAAAAAATTCAAGGTTACGCCATCAGCAGTGATGGTTAGGCTGACAGTGTACTTGAATTGTCAGGAGTGCTTTTCAAAAAAAAATTTTTTTTTAAAGAGGTGATGAAGTGAATGCTGATTCACACTGTAGAGTTCTATCAATGCTTCATGATGCAATCTGAAGTAAATGTCCAGGCCTGCTTACTAGAGGAGTACTGCTCCTTCATGACAATGCCAGACCATATACGGCTCGGTTAACTCAGGAGAAATTTAACCATCTTAGCCACTAGCAATTTCCACCTTTTTTAGTCCACTGAAAATCCACCCTGGCGGGAGACATTCTGCAAATGACGCAGAAGTTGAACGTGAAGTGAAATTGTGGTTTAGAAAATAGAGCATGCAGTTCTATGCAGCAGGTTTGGGAGGACTGACAAAATGATGGGATAAGTGCATCAATGTTAATGGAAATTCTGTTGAAAAATGGAGAGTGTATGTGTAACAATAAATGATTTTCAAGTAGTTATAATCTTTAGTTTGTTTGCTTCAAACAACCATCTGTGACTTAATTATTGACTTCATTTCGTATTTGATGTTTTTGCATTCTAACAAGATGGTCTTAATGTGTGTGTGCATGTGCTAATAAGGAGGGGGGTGGGGGTGAGGGAGGACTGACCCACTGCTGCCCATGACAGGCATGCTGTAAAAGTCTACTAATTTTGGGTGTTTCCTTTGAAGTAAGAATGCATCTACCTGATAGGGCGTCTGCGTATGAATAAGTCGGATCTGTAAAACAGATGTGCACTCAAAAACTCTAATTCTGGAATAAGTGAGCGAACAACCAGAACTTCCTAGAGTTTACAGCCAATGAATGCGAAGAAGAACTTAAAAACTCATACTTGAAAACTTAGGGTTATAAAAGCTACCCACCGTGTGGAATGTCTCCAAGCTTCATCCCTGATCCCTCTTCAATCTCCAACTTCTTTTTCTCCTGAGGTGACCGAATCATACTTGCTGACAGCCGCTCAACCTTCTTCTTTTCTCTCTTTCCTTCCACTTCCAGCGGAAGTTCCAGCAAACCAGCTGAAATATTTATTTATATAATATATATTAATATATATTGAAACAACCCTACAAATCTTATTCAATCACAGGCAAGCAAATTAAAGCCACAATTCTAAGCATACATCTTCCCGTAAAACCATACACACATGAGTCGAGGTTTTTCTTGCAATCAAGAAAGAAAATAGGGACTTTTGAGCTGAAATGCTACAGAAAGATTTTTGGAATCCAAAGAACCAAGAAAAAAATAAATATCTCAACATCAAGGGGAAATGCCGATAAACGGTATCTTGTCTTGGAAACTGAAATACTTCAGCCATTTCAAACGCCATGGTGGACTGGAAAGAGGAATGGCAGAGGGCAAGGTATTAGATAAAAGGGGAAGGACAGAGCAGCGCAAAGATGGACACAGGACTTGAGAAATACCTTCAGTAGGAGAGTACCTGAGAGCTGGCGAAGGATAGTTTCTCTCAGGCGTGCTGAGATTATGGGACCTTCTTCTTTTTCTACCTTGTATCTCAGTGAAGTGTCGGGAGGAAGATATAACATTCATTGATGAGCTCTGTCAAGAGAACTATTAAGACTAATATTCATTTCTCTAAGGCTTTTCCTAATGCCATACATATATATATATATAAAATCAGCTTGTTAAACCACTTGAGTGGAAAGTTAAAGTCCACCTTATTGTTACTGTATTGGGTATCTTTTATTACTTTTCTTAAAAAAAAAGGGAAGTATCAATTGGTTCTATCTGGGAAAAGTGCACTTTACGCTCCAGCTCATGCAAAATTTCCTGAGTAATAATCAGTCTTATTTCGCTGATGCTGTATTTTTTTCAGTGCAAACTATGGATAGACAGCTTCATTTAAAGCTCATTTCAGATGGTTATTCAGACAAGAAACAGTTTTTGAATAAAGGTCCAAAGTGATCCATGTCAAGTGCACGAGATTTGGGGGGAGATGGTCCCAGGTTAGGGTAGCCTGCTTGAAGCAGGCAAACCAAGACCAGAAATACCCAAAAGCCACTGAAGAGTTCTTCCATCATGTGGAGAAAACTCTAACAACACAACAATGTTACTTACGAGGCAACTCCTCTTCATCTTCATCCTCATTTTCATCATCACTATCATCTTTTGTTTGGTCTTTTTTTAAATTTGTCTCTGTTTTTGCTCCCTTGTCTTGGCTCTTTTCTTTCCGTGGAATTACATCTTCACTTTTGGGCACATCCACATTATCAGCTGTTCTTGCTTCTTGTTCTGTTTTTGGTGATTCATCTGTCTTTACTTCTTTTTCTGTTTTTGGTGATTCGTGTGTTTTTCCTTCCTGTTCTGTTTTTAATGTCTCATCAGTCTTTACTTCAGCTCTCTCTGTTTTTAGTGCCTCGCCTGTCTTTACTTCTTGTTCCTTTTTTGGTGTCTCATCTGTCTTCACTTCTGACTGAAACAAAAGAATGAGTTTTAACTTTATTACCTCAACAGTCAAATAAACATTAATTGAACAATAAAGACTCATGCTGCACATCAACGTTAGACGCCACGGATAAGGGCTCACCTTTCTGACCTGAACCAAGTTGGCAGGAGATCTCGGAGATGGCGGCCCCTAGAGACGTAGTGTCCAAGTCTGATTCACATCAGCCTCCCCCCACCCCCAATGCATGGATGAAATTGTCTATTAAAGCTCATTTGGAACACGGGTAAAGTCCGCTAGTTGAACATACTACGAAACAATAACCCTCGCTTAAAATGTCTGTCGAATGGGAAGAACTATTGTACTGCTGACATTCAGCCCTAAAACAAGCAGCAGCCTAGATGACAAACATCTCTTGTGGGTGATAACTTACGGAACAGCACAGCCTCCATGCATCCCTTGCTGTCCCTCAACATCATCGTCACCGCAATAAGGTTGCTATGACAACCTGCCACTGTCAGTGTGCTGGTTTGGCATAAATGTTAGCCTGATACATGTCCAACGGCATAAAAACAAAGTCCTGAATGTCCTACCAAAAAAGTCCTACTAATTGGCAGGAAAGTCCACATGCCCGTTACCACTGGCCCCACTGTCAAGACCAAAAAGGGGAAGCCACGCAGGATGCATTCTTTCGCCATACCATCTTGCTAAGTTTCCAGATTGTACCTATTTGTGTGGCCATCAAAGTCCCAGACCTGCCGGCTGCTCCCTGTTGATCTCAGGAGGATGCAGCCCATGAAAAAGCCCAACCCAACATATTGAGTGAGATTAAGCAGTCATGTGCATTTATGGAAGCCTTCCTGTACGGCGGGAAATGCCCACAATCTGCCAATGCCTTCCCTTGAAGGTTGCCCTGTCTACACGCGGATGCCCTGGACAGGGTAACACCTCTAGATAAGAAAACAAAGAGAACACCAAACAAATAAGGTCACAACATGTCCCTGTCCCAGGAAACTATCTGGTAAGTTAACCCAGCCAACAAATGCTCGATGAAGTTGGATGTGTCCTCCAAAAAAAAATATTGCAGCTCTGCTGTAAAGAGGCAAACACATTTACGTCACTCTGACAAAGGAAAAAAATATGAATAATCTATAATATTTTTCTTGAAGGCTAGTACCAAATGCCGAATACACTGATGGTTATATTATTCATCCTCTCTTTTATCTGAAAGAAATACATCATATCCAGTTATCCATCCCTAGTCCATAGACCAGACTATGTTAACATCCCTCAAATATGTAAACATCCTTCAAATATGTAAGCATCCTTCAAATATGTAAACACCCCTCAAACATGTAAACATCCCTCAAAAATGTAAACACCCCTCAAATATGTAAACATCTCTCAAATATATAAACACCCCTCAAATATGTAAACATACCTCAAACATGTAAACATCCCTCAAATATGTAAACATCTCTCAAATATATAAACACCCCTCAAATATGTAAACATACCTCAAACATGTAAACACCCCTCAAATATGTAAACATCCCTCAAATATGTAAACACCCCTTAAATATGTAAACATCCCTCAAACATGTAAACACCCCTCAAACATGTAAACATCCCTCAAATATGTAAACATCCCTCAAATATATAAACATCAGGCAAGTCCATCGTATCTGACCACCAGTTATAGTTTTAAAATAATAATACTTATTACTATACTAAAGAAATGGATCTAAAACTAGTTCAACTAAACTTCACCCTGATCTGCAGCTCACTGATTTAAAACCACACATAGGACACACACTGCTATTCCCTTATAACCTTATATTCTCTTTCCCTATGTGGGACGAATTTTTCGTTATTTTGTAGCACCACCCTGGTTGTTGCCGGGGGCACTAATATAACCGAACCTATAGGTTGAACGGGGTTTCTGGGAACTCTTCACGGGTAATCTAATCTTCATCCGTCAGGTGGCACTTTACGTCACCGGGTGTTTATCGCTCAGTGTGATGATGGTCAAGATATCCTAGTGTAGTGGGGTAAAATGTCAGTCACACTGTCATTTTATTTGCATGCTATTTACTCCAATAATGTATAACTGTATTAAAATCATCATTCGTCCAAAGAAAGCAGAAATGATACATTAAATGGACAAAGGGAACGGAGAGATCACTAACTTGTCCATTGCTCAACGTTTCATTGTTTTCCTCGTCAGCCATCCTGATGTTGTTGTTGCCAGCAGAAAATGGCGCAGGAGTTAAATCCGACCAATCGAATGCGTCCGTTTCAGGGTTTTTAAAAATTACTATTGTGGAAAAAATCCGAAATGGCCCGTGTGTCACCGGCGCCCTCACGGAAAGCAAAGAATAGTCTAGCAGGCATGTCGTAAGAGACGACTAAGGGTAGGGCTGGGCTTGAAGTTAGCTACCTCTTCCTTTAAATACAATAGCCACAAAAACCAACCAGTCAAAAAGAAAAACCCAGCAGTGGTGCCAATGCTGGGTTTTTTTAACCCCCAGATCTGGGATTTTATTTAACGTCTGCCCTATCATGTAGCAGTATTCCACCAAGTAGTGCAGAGCTAGCTAGTCTGTCCGCCTGTTCATTTCCCAACACACCGGCGTAACCCGGTGAAAAAATCCAGACAATGCTCCTCACTCGTGTCCTCCGCAGCGAAGCATCCCACTCTACACGAAGCATACCTGTTCTGATCTTCCTCGGCATACTTTCTGAATCAGTTACAATTACAATGTGTGTGTGTCTGTCGTGTTCTCTAGCCAGCGGAAAGCTGCAGTGACCGCCTCCACCTCCATTCTTAGGCTGGATGTTGTGGTATCATATGCTAGGCTCTCCTGCACCAAATGTCGACCATTAACTTTTGCTAAAAAGCCCCAAGCACTTCTTTTGCCTCTTGACACTGAACCGTCTGTGTACATGATCAAATCCTCTGAGCGAGCATTATCTTGAATTAATTGCTGAATTTCCACCTCTGTGGCACCTGCTGGCCAGTCTCTGCATTCCCGGCTCAGCGTGATTATGACTCTATACAAGTCTGACTGCTCAGGTGGCACTTTGACCCACTCCTCTCCTCGCCTAATGTTCTCAAAGATGCAGACCTGTCTGATTGTGTCTTCTGCCTGAGCCATCCACGACCTCCCTCTTATCAGCCGCTGACCCTTAACTGCACCCAGAGCTTCATGCAGAGGGTGGTCTGTGTCTGCAGCTACCCTGAGATATGACTTCGCCTGCATCACCTTGTGCCTACCTGCAACCGTCGGCAAACCAAGGATGTATCGCATACACACCACTGGGGTGTCTCTGGTGCAACCCATAATGACCCGCATAGCCGCGTTCTGTATGCGCTCTAGTTTGTCCATCTGACTTTTTGAGACGGTAAGCAATCCCAGGCCATAATCCACCACTGACAGTATCAGGTGCTGATATAGTGTGAAAAGCATTCTCTGCTCTATGTCAATTGCAGCCATAGTCTTAAGTGCACTAAGTCCTTTTTGGCATCTCGTCACAACACTCTCCATATGGTCCTTAAATGACATGCTTCTGTCAAATGTAATTCCCAGATACTTCAGTTTGCTCTCTCTGTTGACGTTAGAAAGGCAGGCGAAGAAGAGGTTAGTTGCGTATCCTTTACAGGACGTTGCAGAACCAACCCCAATTTACTTCCAGTAGTTTGCCATTGCCTCTGGACGGTCGGCTTTCTTGATACCACTGTCGAAACCAACGCAAGGCGCATGGCCCGCAGCTGGGATCGAATTGGCTCCCTGGCATTACGAAGCGTTTGCATCGACTAAGATAATGTTTAGCGGGATTTGATTTTAATTCTTAATAATTTGTTGATTTTAATTGTTAATAATTTGTTAAACTTTTTCAGTCATACACCTGTGTTTATGGAACTGCTAACTTCGTAAGCAATAGCTACTTAAACAATACGGCGTTGGCATGAAACGGTTCCAATGATAATATAATTGGACAAAGGAAACGGAAGTAACTTGTATCGGGATTGCATATGTTAAAGCACGGCCCATTAGAGCATTATAAAAAACTGGAGCCCGGCTGTGGTTACAGCTTGTTTGGTAAGCTACAGTATGACCATGACCGTCTTTAGTCAACACAAGGCGGCCATGGTGTGGCCCATGGAGCTAATTAATAATTAGTAAATTCCTTTTTAAACATGCGATTATGCTTGTAGACGCGTGCTGATACATACAGGCACACACACACACACAGATACAGACTGCGGAGGTTTTTTCTAGCTGCACACTGCCGCACGCAGTACCGGCACCGTTTGTTGGTATCCTTTATTTAGCACTGTTGTAACAGACAGTTTATGGTGAGTACCCGCACCTTTTTAGACTCTATGGTAGTACCAGCACATTTTTATTTTAGAACAAACCCAGACTGTATTACATAAGTATATAATACAGTATTATCAGGAAAGTACTTCCCTTATAAGAAATATGCATGAGAACCATAATGAATGATAGTAAACCAGGTAAATAATAATCTAATTTCTTTTGGTCATATCCCGCTTCCGGATGCAGAGTCATACATCCCGTCCTTTTTTCTCCCGAACAAAAGGTGACGGTATTCGATACATGCCCATTTTCTATCTCTCCTCCAAACGCTCCTTTACATTCTGGTTGTTACCAGTTTTACGCTTGGGCTCGACTGATTACTTTGTATAACAAGCATCCTTACTGTCTCTATTTGATAGCTGACAGTAAGAGTGAAGCATCTTATCACGAGACCCTTGATTTTACCCGATTTTATATATTAGCAATTCCATTTATCCACTAATATAGCCATCTTCTTCTTCTTCTTCGCGTTCACCAGCTGTACACTCTGGTGTAAATTTCTGGTTGTTCGTCCACTTCTGAACTGCAGTCCTGCTCCAGAACCTGAGTGTTGCGTGTGCATCAGTTTTACAGATCTGATTCACTTGAATGCAGACTGTTGGTTCCTTGCCTCTCAGGCAGATGCACTCCGACTTCAAAGGAAGC